GGGAAGGTATGCTGGGCAGAGGCAAGAGAAGAGAGAAAGAGAAAATCCCGAAGCTGCGAAAGAATGAAGTGGCAAGAGGGTGGTGACATAAGGGACATAGCACAGGAATGGGCCAGTGGCCGGATTATAATTCAGGACGAGTCACGTGGTACACGTCAGGAGGAAGATGGGGCAGTTACTAAACACTAGGGCTTTAATCGCTCCTAGCTCAATTACTGACATGACTGCATGATCTATGTCTGAAATTACCCCTTCTTTGCTGTCGGTAAACAAGGCACAACACACATTGCCTTCCGGGACCAGATGGTGTAGTCCAGTCGTATTGTCGTGCAAACCTGTAAACTAGGTTCCCGAGACAGTTCTGACTTACGACACCTCTCCTGGCTTCATGGTTCACAGCAGCTCCTTTCACTCTCAAAGTGTCCCAGTTTGGATGCTACATTAGAAGGTCCTTCTACTTCATGAGAGATGGGAGGTGCATGTGGCTAGGCTGTTTGATGAGGTTAGGTGCTTTGTCTTGATTCTTGTTAGAAATTTCTTTTCTCTGCACTGGAAGGAGGTTGGTCTTGCACCTTCCAAAATGCTCAGGCAAGCTTTGATGGGCGTCAAGTGTACACAGCACAGTGGGCAGCTGTTAAGGAGGACCAGACACGCAGCACATCCTGGCAGAGGCTGGTGACTGTGCATGGGGTGACACCAAGCCTGAGCCTCGAATGAGGATGGCTGGTCAGGAGCAATGACAATAGTGACAGTGAATTAGCAGGGGTGGACACCTGTGAAGCAGATATATTTTCTCCCTTGATTTTTCTTTTAGTTTGTTTTATGTTCCTGTAACAGAGTATTTATTTTGGTACTGGGTATCGAACTCAGGACCTTGCGGTTGGCAGGCAGGCATCGTGTCTCTGAGCTGTATCACCAGCTCGAGATCATTTATTTTTAAAAATGGAAATGTACTTCTCATAGTTCTGAAGGCTAGGAAGTCCAAAAGCAAAGTGACAGCCTCTGATCAGGATCTTCCTTTGTGACATGCCAGAGGGTGTCACCTGCAAGACAGAGCAGACGCACTAGCTCACGTCTCTCTGCCTCCTCTCAAAAGGTCACTCATACCATCATGAGGAGCCCCACCCATACAACCTCAGCTAGTCCTCATTACTTCTCAAAGACCTCACCTCTAGATACGATCCACACATGACTTTGGGGTTGTTTCCAGCACATGAAACTTGAGGGGACACATTCACACCACACTAGTTCTCAAGATCAGCATACTGGAGTGGTGGTGGGGCTCCCTTAGGAAATATGCAGAGAGGGAAGCTTTGGAACAGAACCCACAGTTCTGCTAAATTCTCATAGCTAGGCACAGAGAGAGAAAGGTGGGTGGTGGGGCAAATTGCAGATACCTACGGAATCATCTCCAAAATTTTATCTGTATCTCCTAAGAAACGGCTGGCAAGTCCATATCAGGCCCTCAGACATGCCACTGGGACAGGACACAAATCCTGCAACTATTTGGTAACTTGAGGTCATGTAGGGAAGAGCTGTGTCGGAGGTCAGGGGTAAGAAAGGCATTCCAGGAACCTTTTTTTATTTAAATCAAATCAATCCACAGAATGTAATGGATCTCAGACTTCCGGAGATCTGGCCCCTTTGTGTGGGAGTAAATAGAAGGAGACACAGCTGGGGAAAAGTCCCCTTTTTCATATCCAGGAAAACAAATCTCAAAATAAAATTCTCCACAATCCTAGGAGGCACTGCAGCGGTTTCTAAAGCAAGTTTCATGCAAACCTCAAAGAGAGAGAGAGAGAGAGATAAGAAGGGGCCCAAGAAAGAGTCTTTCTGTGCTTTCTTTTCTTCTTGTTAGATTTTTTTTTTCCCTGTTTGTTTACTTTTATTTGATTTGAAGATTCGAGTGTGTAGGAAGACTCTCACTGAAGAGGAGGCTGAGTAACACTTGATCAGGGTGTTTACTGCACACACATTCACACTCAGTCACGTACAGGGTGCCTGCTATGAGCTAGGGGACAAGGAAGCAGAGAGGAAGGACCTAAGAGACCTGACGACCTGCCTGTCCTGCCCGGAAGTTGGCAGGGAGGCAGGAGAGACATGGAACAGACAGTCTACTGCCCCTCCCGAGGAGGAGTGCTGTAGCAGAGGTGAGAGCCCGCGTACACACACACACACACACACACACACACACACACGCCACACGTGAGTGTGCACTCTATTGGAGCTGCCCTCAGTTGTTGCCCAGGACTCTCCTCGTTTTGAGTTCCCAATTAGGCTGACTTCTGACCCAGCTGAGACCGCATAACACAAAATTACCTACCTGAGTGTGAACACTGGACAGCCTTTAGTGCCTGTGCACTCATCGTGTTGCACAATCACAGCCTCCATCTAGTTCCAAAACATTTCCATCCCCCCAAAATAAATTACTGAGCAGTTACTGATCTATTAATAATACCCTATTAAGCAGTGACTTCCTATCTGTCCCTCCCCCAGGTCCTGGCAAACACAAGGCTGCTTTCTACCTCCACAGATTTACCTAGTCTGGGTATTGCACAGAAGTGGAGCCATGCACTGAGTGACCTTCACTGTCTGGTTTCCTTCACTGAACACGCTTCTGAGTTTCATCCCTACTGTGCTGTGTGTCTCCACTTCTTGCCACGGCTGAATAATATTCTGCTCTGCGGGTACCACCTATAATGCTTCTGTTGACCCATTCATCTCTTGATGGACCCGGGTCCTTTTGCCATCTCACTATAATGAGTAGTGCTGTCAGGAACACTGGAATGGTGCTTGCCTAGAGCCCTCCGCAAGCCCGCTGGCCTGTCTGGAGGTGCTTACCGACCATTTCTTGGGAGATGCGTGCACACTGCTGCAGGAGAAGGTTGCAGAGCTGTCCTCTGTGCCCCCCCCCCTCTCTCTCTCTTCCTGGGGTCCATAGCTTCTCAACTTACCAGAATTGTAGATTCCTAAAATTCATGAAATTTTTGTTTGGATATCTGTTTTCAATTCTCTAGGGCGTATAGCAAAGGGCATATTCCAAGTTTACCTCTTTGAGGAGTCCTCAAACTAACTCACAGGACCACACCCTTTGGAAGACCTTGGAAGTACCATTTCATGAGTCACCAAAAGGCTTTGAAGACTGGAACCCTGGTTTACAAATACACCAAGCAGGTGTGAGTGCCTCATTTGGTCCAAACTTGCACCAATATAACGAAAGTCATAAGTTTGATTCCCACATCAGCCAGTGAACTATCAGAGTGGACAGCATGAAAGACTGTGAATCCTACTGTGGTCCATCATCTGTCTGGCCCTTTTGCACAAGCAGTGACAGGGGCACAGGGCAGGTGTTTTTATGGTTCCACATAAGAGAGAAAAATAATCTAAAGTTCAACATCTACTGAAGGCCCTGTGAGTCTAACTGGAATCAGATGTGCTCTGAGACCTGGCTCCACCTGATTTGTGGGGTGTTTTGGGTAAACTGTTTAACCTTGCCCCTGAGCCTCAGTTTCCTTATCTCCAAAGCTGCAATAACAATCTTCTTGCTGGTTTGGTTCAGCTTTTGACACATGCTGTTCAGTGTGGAGTGTGAACCTTCACATCCTAGCCTATATGGGAACTCAAAAAGGGGATGGGAGTGTCCGTGGAAAGCCTGGAGGCATGAGCATGACACTGGCTTCTGCAAAGTGCCCTTAGCCACTCTCCCCAGGTTAACTGAACTGGAATGGTGGCGCACTGCTCACCAGGACGTTACACTGGCTGTTTTAAATTGCCCCATTTGCATGGAATGAAGCTTGCTATGGTAACAAGGTCTGGTGGCTGGAATCCAGGGCCCCCAGTGGAAAAAAAAATGCAAAGTCTGTGCTCTGGGAGAGAAAGAGGAACGAGGAGGGACTCAGCAACGCTAAGGTTACCTCGGTTCTCCCCCAGAAGGAGTGGGTAAACTGAGGCAGCGGCTTCCATACTACTTCTGTCCCCACAGGAAGAAAAGGGAAGCCACACTGATGCCTTCCAATCTTTTCTCCTGATCTTTCTCCTCGGTCAAGGGGTCAAGAGTTAGCCCAGCTAAGAAGCTTAGAACACGGCTGAAGCTGCGCCCCTGCACCTAGGCTGCACAGCCCAGGGCTGGGGATCACAGGAAGGCTGTGCGCCCTGGCCCAGAACAGGGAAGGACAGCGCTCCTTCCGGGTGGAGAGCTCAGGTCCAGTGGCTGGCGGGGGTGGAGGTGAGAGCTGCGCGGGCCACCAGTTAGCTCCCTGCTGGGCATTTCCTGCCTGCAGTTTAAGGACTCAAAGCGAGAACTCCACTCCTGAGCTCGCGCGAGGCGCCCCCTCCCTGGGAGCCCCATCCCCGCTCCCCTCCGGGGGCCCCCTTTCCGAGAGCACCCCTCTTTCCAAACACCCACCACCCCCCTAGCACAGCACAGCTCCGGGCAGAAGTCCGCCGGGGCGGGGATGCCCCACCGCGACGAGGAGGGGACAGAGGTCTGAACGCGGCGCGCGCACCCCCTTCCCCCAGCCGGGGGCGCCGCCTCAGTCCACGCTACGGCGCCGCCCGCCGCCCCCTCCCCCCAGGGGGTGTGTCCGCTAGGTGGGGGTCTCAGGAGACCAAGGGCGACCCAGGGTCCCGGCCCAAGCCCCCTCCCGAGCGGGCGGCGAATGGTAGGCTCCGCTTGAAGAGTGCCGGCGCGCGGTGTCCTCTGTGCGCAGCTCGCGGCGCCCGCCCGCCTGCCGGGGTCTCGGCGATCGCTGCTCCTCCTCCTCCTTCTCCTCCTCCTCTTTCTCCTCCTCCTCCTCCCGCAGCAGCCTCGCCACCGCCGCGGCTCAGGGCTGGAGGCGCCGCTGTCATTGCTGCGCCGGAGGAGCCCGGCGCTGCCAGTGCCTGGGGGTCGGGGCGCAGGCTAACCGGGCCGCGGGGGACCCAACAGGTAGAGCCGGGGGTGCCCGGACGCGCACCCCCCCGCGCATCATGCAGCTCTTTGTCACCTCTCTCGCCCCCAGGCCAAAATCCTGAGCATGATGGAAGACAATAAGCAGCTCGCGCTCCGCATCGATGGGGCGGTCCAGTCGGCCAGCCAGGAGGTGACCAACCTGCGAGCCGAACTCACGGCCACCAACCGGAGACTGGCGGAACTGAGCGGCGGCGGCCCCGGCCCGGGCCCGGGAGCGGCGGCCAGCGCCTCGGCGGCGGCGGCGGCGACAGCAGCGGCGGAGAACATGGAGAACCACCAGCAGCCAGGCGCGCAAGGTAGGGATCGCCTGGCGCCCGGGGCGGAGGCGCGGCGAGCGAGCACGCCGGCCGGTGGTGGCCGGGACCGAGGACTCTGCCCCACTACGCCCGGCCGAGATCGCTTTGCATCGTGGCTTGTAAACCCTTTCCGCCCGGCAGTGGCCACTGCTGCTCCCAGGCTGCTGTCATGAGCGAAAACCTGGGCGCAGTGTACACAGGGTCACAGGGTCACACTGGCCCTTGGCGGGCGAGAGCGAGGCGCAGCCGGCGGGACCCTTCCGACAGGGTAGCAGAAAGTGCCCTTTGGATGGCACCCAGCCCCCAGCTCCGTGGCAAACTTTTCAGGCCCCCGGCCCCAGCTGGGATGAATGCCACAGCTCCCGAGGCTCTTCCTCTGGAATGCTTGCCAGCGCTGGGCTGTGCTGCCCTGCTCGAGGTGGGCGACTGCATCGGCGTGCACTTTTCTCCACCGATGCCAGATCCCTGGTCTCGTGCATCTGGACTTTATTTTCTCTCCGTTTGAGATCGTGCAGGCAGTGAGATTCATGGGCGAACGGTAAAGGCTGGCTCTGCAGGGGTTTACATTTCCAGCAACTGCAGCCCTGGGAGCTCTTCCCGGGGAAAATGTAGACCTCAAAGACGGAGCGATGGGCTCCCAGAGAGACGATGCTGGCGTGGATGGTAGATTGCTGGGAGCCCCGGAGGAGCTCAGTTTGAAGCAACTCTGCAGTTTGGGTGTGGGGGCGGGGAGATAGCTGATCTGTGTTGACCTAAACAGAGTTGAGGCCTTGAATGCCTTTCAGGGGTTAAAGGTTTTGGAAGAGGCGTCCCTCAAAGGCACCTTTAGGTTTCTGTTAACTTGGGGAGTGAAAGAGGGACCAGCACCCTTTTCAGGACTGTCCCCGCCCCCATTGCCTTTGGAGAAACAGTATCACTGGCTGTTCCTATTATTTGAATTATAAACTCAGCTGCTAAAATTCACAACAGGACAGGGGCGAAAAAAATCTCCAGTCCACGAGGGCCACTTGTAGAAATATGTCATTGGATGAAGTGCAAGGTGCCAGTTGCTCAAGTGGCTCTGAATGCTTTTCTGGATCTGTTATTTCAGCAGCTTCTCCTCCTAAGTGGTGAAGGAGTCTGTGTTTGTTTGGGTGTCTTGCTCTGTCCCTGTTTCCACCTTACCTTCCTGGGAAGGCGCGCTTTTGTGATGCAGGAGGGGAAGTGTTGGGAGTCCCAGGGACTGGGGAAGTAATTTGGTAGCAAAGTGGTCATGATGTCATGGTGGGAAGATGCTGTGGTCCCATTGTTCGCTGTACCTGCTTGGCATCTGGTCATTCTGTCATTTATCCTTTTTGGTGTGGTTGCCTATGACAGTACATTCTCCCCTGGAACCCAGGCAGGGCCGGGGGAAAAAAAACAGGCTTCCTGCAAGATAATACTTTACTTTTTATAAGCAGGGACTCTTCTAGCATTAAAGAAATTGGTAAGAGCTGACATTTTGCTAAGGATCAAAAGCCATAGTAAGAGACACTGAACAAGCTGGTTTATTTCCCTTTGCTCAGCCCGAAGGAAAGTTAAGTAGCTTTTGAATCCTGGGGCTGCACGCTGGGCATCCCAGGGAAGTCAGCGCAGGGCTAATCTGTACGCTCCACCTGGACACCGAGCTGCTGGCTACTGGTTGAACTGTTGCAGTGGAGCAACAGGGGGCTGGCTGCTCCTTTTTCCTCCTGAGAACACACACAAGACTGTGGAAATAGAGATGGCTTTTTGGCTCTCTCGATATCTTTAAAAACACGCAAACCTGGTAGCTTCCCTCTGTCCTTTGGAGCGTACCGGTCCACATCAGGGCTACCAGTGGGCAGGAGGAGGAAGGAGGGCCTACTTGTCCCTCTCTGCCCTGGCATTTCAAAAAACCTTCACTAGGGCACTTAGTGATTTTCTAATCAGCAAATATGATGGTAGAGGCTTTAGCTCAATTTAATTGTCAGCCACAAACCCACTTCCATAGATCTGTATTTATACTAATGTGATGGTTGAAAACAAGCCCACCCTCATGTAAATTAGGCAGAGGGGGGACATCGTCTACTTATTTGTAGCACCAAGACCTCAGTCCAGTGTGTTTTACATTATTTAGCCTCTTGGGGGGGGGGTACAGTTTTGTTTTAGTTCTGTTTGTTTGCTTGTTTTTTTTCAAATGGCCTCTGGCAGTGTTCTGTAGTAGAGAAACCCTCAGCAGAGTTGATCTGGTAGTCACTTTGCGATGGCGTTTATTTTCCTAAAGGGAAGCATGGGGCTCTTACAAGTTGATTTTAAAGTGAGCTTGATTGTCTTCCTCAGGCTTCTCCTTGGTGTACCTCCAGGGAGGCTCAGAGAAGCTCAGCTCTCCCAGCCCTCTGACTGTTCTTCGGAATTAGAATTAGTCTTGTGTTTCCATTTTGTCTGAGTTCATTCCATTCCTTGTACCCAGAAGTGAAGAGTATTTTAGTGCTATTAAGTTATCACTTTTCGAATCAAGGTTTTGCATGAAATGAGTATCTTTCAAATGTAACTGCATAACCCATCTTTTAATGAAAGGGCATTATGCACATATTAAATGCATGTTAATGTACCTTTAATAATATTAGCACAAACGCTCATGGGAAAGAGTCACCTTTCACTCCCTAGTCAGAGGATTGTTAGATCGACTTTCACATTGTTTTGTTACTGTTTACAGTTCGTTTTTTAAATGAATTAAGCAAACTCATCTGTCCATCACTGAATATTTTGTTCCGGTGTAACAACGGGTGTTGCCTTTTGATAAAACCAACTTGGGTTTTCCTAGAAGGGTTAACATGGCGCGTCATTTAAACAAAATATTAACTTGCTCAGTATCCTTTGCGAGCTGGCGTGGTTGCTATGTAACAGAGTCTAGAAAGTGAACTGCAAATCTGGGCTTTCGGCACTTTGCAGGATCTTCTTTCGGGATCTGTGTTGAAAGAACACTTGGCGGCCAGCCCATCTCCTCTCTCCGTGCTGCAAGTGATGGGGATAATCCCTCATGAGGATGCTGGCATCCAGCACCCAGGGCGTCCCTACAGGGTGGCACATTTCACAGTTCCAGGGACCGCCTCTTGGCTTGGCGGGGTCACAACTTGCCTTTGACAGGTAGACAGAAAGAAGCTTGGAAAAAACCAGAGCCAAGCATTTGTTTCAGTATTCATTTTGTTGTTGGGAGCCAGAGAAGGGATTTGTTTAAAGTAACATTTCTAAGCTGTTTTCCTCGGAGTAACGTCTCTGGGAAAGTGTGTTTAAGATGCTTGCTGTTCTTTGATGGGGAGCAATAGCAGTTGTTCCTCTGAAAATGTTTTATCTGATGAACGACTAATATTAGATGCAATTGGTCGCTTTGCTCTGTGTAAAATAAACAAGCACTATTGTATCTAATTCCAATAGGTGCTAACTGTATGTAACATAAAACATGCGTCCCCGGTGGGATACATGCCTACTGCTATTAGTTTATTGTTGCCATTGTTTTTTAAGAAAATAATTGAATTTATAAGCTATGTAAGCTGGGAGTGCTGAGAGCTTTTTTTTTTTTTTTGGTGCTGAGTATTTCCTGCTTTTGCATTTGTGGACACAGGGAGAAAGACAGGGCTCCTTCTTTGTAAATTTCCCTAACTATACCTGCAAGTTTTATTTTTCTCCCCAGGCATTAAAATAGGCTGTTACCTAGAGTCTGGCTGCTCTTATCTCCCATTACTACAACACGGGATACTCTGCCGTGAAGTATGAATTACCTTCAGGGTGAATCAAATGTATGAGTCGTCTGCGGAGACTCCAGACACGGTTGCTGTGCAAAATAAGTTCTGTCTTCCGCCATCCCCTTCCCAATTCATTCTGCCTCCACGCTTGTTTTCCTAGGTAGACTTTTATCTTTTTTTGAAAGGGAGAAGTTCCAGCGGGCAGGAAGAGTGGAAGAAAATGTGGCAGGGTCTCTGGGGCCCTCTGAGTTTGCCTCCGAGGGACCAGGCGGATGAGGTCACAGAGGCTGTGGCTCTCCGGCCATAGGAGTGGGCCGAATGACCGTGTCTTTTCCTGGTTAGGCTGCCCCGAGCTGGGGATGCCAAGTTGCTCTGGTACATGGTCACAAAGGGATTACTTACAGATCAGTACCACGTGGTTGGAATTAGTTATTGATTGGCTATTATTTACTGTCTTTCCATTTGTCTTTGGAAAATACCTTCAGAGAATTCCTAAGTCAAATTTCTGATCCTAGTTAATGTCATGCTTCCAATATTTGTTTCATGACTTTCTGTGGTTTCCCAAAACTTCTTTGATGTTACCCGGAACGCTTAGGCAATCCAACTTTTATTATAAGACTCTGGTCACATATCATCCCAGGCAAGGAATTTTTACATTCTTTCACTCTTTTCTCCCCAAGACCACTGGTGCTTTTTTAGGAATCCTGTAGGGTTATAATTTGTGACTTCCTGGCTGAGTTGGTAGCAGATGGACTTGGCAGGTGGAGACCACTCACTGGACGTCCACCTGGCTACCCTGTAGGCATATAGGGCCCGGCAGGCTGAAGTTGGGGTCTTGGCCACATTCGTTGCATATTGGAAGTGTGTGTCTATGTGTGTCTGTGTCTGTCTAGACATTCATTGCAGAATAAATGCAAATGTGCAACAGCCCATACAGTGTGTGCTGGAGATCAGAACACGTAACCCATGGGATGGCAGAAGTGTCCCCAACAGCAGTGGCAGATGTGTCCCCTAGTGCTCTGAAATGCAACAAAATGGGTTCAGAGTCATTTATGACAAGACAGAGTCCCTGAAGCCAGCACAGTGACCTTCCGCAATGGCAGATTGCACCTGGTGGGTGGCTGATAGCAGCCAGAAATCCTGTAGACCCGTGCTCCCACCTTCAAGCTCCCAACCAATCCCATCGCTCCTGCAGAGAAGCTGACAGGAGGCCAGAGACAGAAACACCTCCTTCCTCCCCGAGGGGCTGGATAACACCTGCACATCCTTGCCCCATCG